CCACATGCTTCCACCTCCAGGTCATTCAGCAAGTTTCCACACTTCACTTAGCATTAGTCATTGCCAGGAAGTGTCACAGATAAGCAAAATTAGGCTGAATTTCTTATGATGAATTTGGATTTATGAAGATATTTGTCACAACAATTCATGTATTTACAATCAAAAACATATATATATAACTTTTAACAGTAAAACTGTCTGCCCCTTGGTTTTGGGTTGACTGATAAAAATTAGTTGGTATACCTAATGACAGAATCCGCATGATGATGTGGGCTTTGTCCCAGGTGAGTAATGCCAAAAAAATCAAGAAGCCAAAATAGAATTATAAATCCACTAAAAACGGGTGAAATAATCTCCCGATACACAGAGTGAATACTAAGTAGAGTATAATTATTAATAGGCATTCAGAGGAAGGGCACAATTTTCAGGAAAGGGGAACAGGATTCCATCATGCCCTCTCTTCATTAGAATTATGAGTTATGTTTGTTGCTTACACATTTCCTTGAAATACTGCCTATTACACACTCAGGCAGCAGTATTATTTCCAAAGATAATTCCCCTGCTGCCTTCTCCAATCAGCCGAGATGGCCAAGTCAACTTTGTTACGTCACTTCCTTTCCTGAACTAATCAATTCCATGCAATCCAGTTCAAAAATGAAATATCTTTTATTTAAGTTCATGTAATCCTATTGATTTCTTTTATGTAATATGCATTTATATGTTGTACCATCTTGCTATTACCTAATGTGGTAGGTTATCAATTCTTGCCCCTAATAAATGAATGAGAAAATGATTTTAAAATGCTTAGCAATATTAAGAATATGGCAACAAATCTTAATAAGTAATACTTTAAATTAAGTTAATTAATTTATGCATTACCCCACATACTTGTCTTCCTTTTTTGTGGTGAGAACATTAAACTTTATGCTTCTAGAGATTTTTAAGAATATGATACATTATTAACTATGGGCACTTTATTATTCAGTAAATTTTTAGACCAGAACTGTTCCTTTCAATAAACCAATAGAAATTAGTAGTACAATTATCTTACCTATCGTGTGTGTGTGTATATATATGTATTTTTTTCCCTTCCTTCTTTCCAGTTTGTCTACTTAAAGGCCAAATAGTACTTCACTGTGGATCTGTACCACATTTTCTGTATTCGTACATCTATGGAATATGTAGACTGGTTAATTCCGTATCTTACCATCGTGAATAATGCAACTGCAAGCATAGCAGTGGCGATCTGTGTTTGACTTGCTAATTTTATTTCCTTTGGATTTACACCAAATAGTGGGAATGCTAGATCATATGGTAGATTGTAAGATCGTATGGTAGTTCTATTTTCAAATTTTTGAGGAATTTTCATACTAGTTTGTATAATGGCTCTCCTAATTTGCATTCCTACCAGAGATATACAAGTGTTCTAATTTTTCCACATCTTTACTAACATGTTATCTTTCATCTTTTTGATAATAACCACTTTGACAGATGTGAAGTGACATCTCATTGTCAGTTTAATTTGCATTTTTCTGGTAATTAAAGATGTTGAGCTTTTTCTTATATCTGTTGGCCATTTGTATGTCTTCTGTTGAAATCGCTCTTCAAAGGTCCTTTGCCTTTAATTTTTTTTCTTGCTCTTGAGTTGTTTGAGATTCTTATACATTTTGGATATTAACCACTTATCATATATATGTTTTGTTCTAATTGTCTTCTATTCCATAGCTTGGCCTTTCTCTCTGTTGGTTTATTTCTTTGCTGCGGAGATACTTTTTAGTTTGATGTGTCTCCATTTGTTCATTTTAACATTTGTTGCCTGTATTTTTGTATCATATCCAAAAAATTATTTCTCAGACCAATGTTGTGGAAGTTTTCCCCTATGTTTTCTTCCAATTGCTTTACTGTCTAGTGAGTTACTACATTTAAGTCTTTAATCAATTTTGAGTTGATTTTTCTGTATGGCGCAGAATATAGCTTGGTTTCACTCTTCTGAGTACGGCTGTCAAATTTTCCCAGCATCATTGCTTGAAAGAGACTGTTTTTTCTCCATTGTGTGTTCATGGTACCTTGTTGAAGGTCAATTGACTGTTAAGGGATGGGTTTATCTTGGGCTGTTTAGCATGTTATGTCAGTCTATGTGTATATTTTTATGTCAGTGCAGTGTTGCTCTCATTACTATAGCCTTGAAGCTGTATATTGTGATGTTTCCTGCTTTGTTCTTTCTGTTCAAGATTATTTTATTTATTGAAGTCTTTTGTGGTCCTATATGAATCTTAAGATTTTTTTATTTCTGTGAAAAATTTTATTGGAATTTTGATAGGATTGTACTGAATCTTTAAATCACTTTGGACAGTTTGGTATTTTAACATCAATTGTTCCAATCTATGAACATGTGATATATTTCCACTTAGTTGTGCTTTCTTCAGTTTCTCTCATCAGTGTTTTATAGTTTTTTTTAAAATTTCTTTATTAACTCTTAACAGTTTTTTGGTGGAGTCTTTAGAAGTTTCTACAAACAAGATCATACTCTTGAAAACAGGGACACTGTAACTTCTTTCAAATGTTACTATGAAATACTCCATATTTAACCACAGGGCTTTTTTGTAAGTGAAGAAAAAGCAACTAAGTTTTAAAAACAACTAATGTAAGTTGACTTAAAACAGTTTATTTTAATTTTATGCCTTTGGTATGTTTTTAAATTCTGAAACCAACTATAGAACAAATGCATCTGTACATCATTAGTATTAAAAGAAAGCCCTGTGAGAAGTTGAAATATTCATTCTGAAGGGAACAAATTGTTACAGCCTCAGATTCTTTTTGGATTGCAGCAAAGAACATGCTCACCTTACCATATGACCACCAGAGTGTTGAAAATACCTCTTGTATACATATGTATTTATTTGATTGATGGAGCAGGTTCTCCATTATTATCTGGAAGAGCCATTCTCTGAAGCATGCAGGCAATCAAAATATTTGGAAATCCTGAAAGCCAAAGAAATAGTAGCTTTTGGTTTATTTACTGGAGCATATCTTTCTAAATATTCCCTTTTTGAAATGAGCCCCAAGAGCCATTAAACTGGGCCTCTATTATTCCCCCATGAATAAGAAAGATGAGGATTAAATGACATTCAGCAGGAATGCCCAGTACTTGGTGTTTGTCTCAAGATCTAGGCTCAAAGAGGTAAGTTTAAACAGCAAAATGTAAACATAGAGCCATTACTCTGTGTATATACAGAAAAGGAAAAATTTCTTTGCAACGTGCTTATCATACACTCAACTAGGCAATGAATTTGTTAAGAAAATATACCTACAAGAGCTTTTCTTTCTTAGTCTTCCGTGTATTCATTATTATGTATCAGTGGTGGGGACTGTGATGTTGATGAGGCAATATAAGCATTCAATGCTGGGTAGATTTTCTGAAAATGGAGCTGCTAACATCTGGGCAAGTGCCAGACAATGAAGGATAGGTTTAAGACCTGTGCTGCACGGAGGACAACAGAGGGACGCCTACCAAGATTGACTTTCAAATCCCTGCAGAACTATTTCATAAAAAGTGTTTCCTTTCCCATTTTATATGCCAAGAGATCAAAAACACATATTTGTTAAGTTATTAGTATCAATCAAAAGGTCAAGAGAAAATTGAGAAAATCAAGTGGTATAACTAGAGAAACCTTCTTTGTGTCTTAAATTCTATATAGATGGACATTAAACAGTGTATATCCTGTCTAGAAGGGAAGCACTGTGTTTCTACTATGCAACATGGGGCTTGTTCGAGGCATTCATCTGTGCAGTTTAAGGTGTGGTTAGCAAATCCTTGCTTCCTTTGAATCATATAGAAAATTTATGGGTTCCTATCCATTTTTTGCAAAGTTAAATTTTAATTTAAAACCCTGTTCTAATGGCGATGAGTTATAATTTTAGGATCTTAATTTTCTTGACCTTATCATTTGTAGAGCAGACATATCCCTCCTTTGTAACTCCATTCCACCATGAATCTAGATGAAGACCATATTTTATGACCTCTCTCCTCAATAATCTCTTTGGGTGCATGCATTCATCCAAATCCACAAAAATGCAAAGCGGAGGTCAGATGGTAGTTCGCTTACTAAATCCTAGAATGACAAAATTATGGAGTCTCCATTCGTGCCACTGAGGAATGTGAACAAAACTACCTCTGTTGCTCATCTACTGTGTCCTAGTCAGTTTCCATGCATACCCTCAAATTCTCCCAACAACCCAGACAAGTGAAACTCTCTTATCACTGTTTTGTAGAAAACTGAAACTAATTGTGTTCTACCAACTTTCCTGAGCTGGCCCACATCAGACTTTAAAATGAGAACTTATGCTGGAGATCTTCTTCCCACATCATCCATCCTATGCTGCCTTACCATCTTGAGAGGTGCTTCCCACTTAAAGTATAGGATGAGCCAATGAAGCTCATGTCCCATTTTTTAAAAACACCAAGTCCCATCCCATTTTTAAACTGAGGCTCCTCAGTCTTTTTGGTCATTGAATCACCAAACTCAGTATTTGGTGTATCATTTAAAAAATCATAGAAAGCTATATTAAAAGGCGGGGGGAGAAAAAGAAGAAGAAAAATATTACTGAATCCAGTACATGGTGGAGGCTCTTAAAGGGAGAAAGAGGAAGATATTTGGTTTTCCTGAAATTGTTCTTGTCTGTTTTAAAGAGGAAAGGGGTGGTGTGGGTTGAAGCACAAATAGGGAATAGTTATGTGGTGATCACGAGCAAAACAAAGCAAAGCAGAGCAGGTTGGAGTGTGATTTCTCCATCTCCCTAGACACTGCACCCTTCTCTGAATGAGATGGATCTGTTTGGTTTGCAGGCTAGGGCTGTCAAGCGAGAAGTATACGCTAATTTCATATTTTCTCATCACTTTCTTTTGGGGATAAGTATTTTGGTTTTCTGCTGTTTATTATTTCAAAGGCATCTCTATGCTAATACATTTCATGCTAATTATGTTCATGTTTGCCCCTCAGGTTATGATTCACATCACCCACCAGGGAGGATCATCTCTCCTGAAAACTTTCAAATTTGATTTTGAGAATTATTCAGAAAAAAGTTAAGCCATGATTTTCCCAGCGAAGGAAATAATATGCTCTGGAGGCTCTTCTGATTCATGGAAAATGGACTAGGATAACATTTGGGTTCTCATACTACCCAAATCTTCTAGAGGACAGCCAGGTACACAAAGCATTTAACAGTGTGACATTGAAATGGCAGAAGGATGACGGAAATAAAAATCTAATAAGAGCTTTTAGAAATCATTAACTTACTGTGTTTGGTCCAGAGAGGAGAAATAAAAGCTGTTTTCATTCTCCACAGCATCTGAAGTATGTTAACTGCTTCTATGGCTATAAATACCGTGTTCTGATTGTATGTCCTCATTTCTTAACATCATTTCTACAAAGTTATTTCTAATAATATTAATGCCTGAAGCTGCGATTGTGCTTATGGGAAGAATCAGGTGAAATAGAAATCTCATATAATAATCTAGCACAATGGTTTTTTGTAGGACTTTTACTACAGAGCTTTGTTTTTAATGAAGTTATAATTTGTTTGGAGAGCAGATTGCCATTTGTAAAAAAAAAAGAAGTTAGCCAATTAATCTGTCTTAGAAGTACGTTTAGGCATCTTTTTCTAAAGATAAACAGAGCTTAAAATCAATTCCTTGACATAAGGCATTAAAATTTAGGTGAGTGTGGAGAGGATATGTTGCACCTCTCCATTCTTTGTGAATTGGGCTCCTTTTGTCCCACATAACAGATGCCAAGAAAAGAACCCATATCACACCCCTCTGTATAGCTCTCTCCCCTGCTCTGTGCGTAGGAAAAGCAAGGCACCAGAAACACCAGGGAATCCATAACACAGACATAAGCTCGTTTTGTGACCAGACTCCTCTTTGGCTGTTCTTTTCTCCACCTTTCAGTAGCTGCACCAAATTTACTTTCTATTTGTTAAATGCTTTCGCTGTTAGATTGCAACAGTGACATCAGCAAGACATGAAGCCCTGCTGCTGGTATTGCTCCTCTCACTTTAATGCCTCTTGAGATCCAAGATGGTTTTGTCAGGAGGAGAGTTTCCTTTCATGGTTGGATGAAAGGGCTCCCTCTGCGAAGGGGACCTGACAGGTAAACTAGGCTCTCCCCCGACAGGAAGTGATCAGAGGGAGCCTCTGAAGGCAGGTGAAAACAGGTACCTGACATATTCTGCGACTGCCAGCCAGCATTTGACACTTCTGGTCATAATCTCTCCATAAACAGGAAGAACCTCTGCTAGGGATACAGTTGGTAAATTGGTTAGAATAGATCTTTGCCAAACAATGACAAAACCTTTTGTTGAAACCTGGCAATGTTTGGTACATTCTGTTGCACTCAGTGACCTGTGCTGTTTTACATGCTAAACCCAGTGACCCATCATTATTTTCTTTTTACTGTACTTATTTGCCTGTGATAACAAAATAGTTACACATTTCCCTTTTAAAGTTGTGTTTGAAGAATGAGTCATTGAACTAACACATTTAGCCTTAATGCAGCTCTGGCTAAGAAGAAATCTTCCTGCTCATCTCTGAGCATAATTCAAAGATAATTCCAACAGAAAAGCAATTTGTCAGCCATTAGGTTCCAGAATTATTAGGTACGGGTGAGCCACAGTAACTGATTAAGCATTATCATTTTTGCAAACTACGTTCCATAAGGACACTTAAAAGCTACCATTAGTTGCAGCTCTCAAAGGTTCCTGCAGTTTGTAGATGTTAGAAAACATGTGGTGGACACAGCTCAGTCTACACGAGCAGTAAGATTTTGATTTAACATCGCTCCAGAAATGCTGTGTGCTCAGCGAGGACTGGCACTCTTGGTTCTGTAATAGGGTTTTAAAATAAAGAGCTTTAAAATACTAAAAGGTAGAATTAAGTAAGCTGTGGTTTAAGTCCCAACATCAACATCTACTCAGTTTCTACCTAGAATAATTTTTTTTTAACTTCTTAAGCCTCTTCTCCTCATGGGTATCATTAGGAGCTGAAAAAAACTGACATTTACTTTATTTCCATTGACCAAGAAGATTACGTGAGATGATGTATTTGTATGAATGCTTACTCATAATAAATACTCGACTAATGGTCATCACTTTTATTATCATTGTTGTTTTTAATAGTATTAATACCTTAAGCATTGTTACTACTGTTGACATTCTTTTCTGAATTTTTTTTTTTTCTGGTACCGGGAATCGAAATCACAACGTTGACATTCTTATTGATGCTAATGTTTAGGCAAAAGGTTTACAATATTTCTTCATGGAGAACTTAGGTAGTACAAATCAAAAGATACATGTGTTAAATACTTTTCTGTCAATAAAACAGAAAACTACAAAAATAAAGCTGTGGGAGCCAGGTGTGCTGATTCATGCCTGTGATCCTGCACTCTGAGAGGCTGAGTCAAGAGGATCGCAAGTTCAAGCCCAGCCTGAGCAAACTACTGACTTAGCAAAAACATGTCTAATAATAAAGAATAAAAGAAAGGGTCAGATCAGTGCAAAGGTCCTGGATTTAATGTCCAGTTCTGGACAAAGATGACAGGAAGTGAAAGCTAGTGAAAGAAAGACAGAAAGAGAGAGGAATGTGGGAAAACTCAAATTTAAATGTGATTCACTGGAGGCCTACACACCATCACAAAGTTCCAGTTGTCTTTGTTTGATCAATCTTGCATTCTTACATCTGGAAATCTGAGCAACTTCACTGAAGATAACAATACGTAGCATAACAACCATTGTTAATTCCTATCATCTTTTTTTGGTTTTTTTGGGGGGGTTTTTCTCCGGTACCGGGAACCGAACTCACGACCGTGCGCTTGCTAGGCAGGTGCTTTTGCCACTGAGCTAAATCCCCAGCCCCAATTCCTATCATCTTGTTTTGAAATCCTGTGTCTTTCTTATTGTTTTCGTGTTGTTTTGTTTTTGTCTTCATTGTTATTTTGTTACTGTTTTTTTTCTCTTTAAAATAAAAAGATAAAATGTCTAAGATGTTGCATAAGTTGAAAAAGTTAAAAATTCACTAAAGTGTATGACTTATACTTAAATAATGTCTTATTCATGCTATATAGCAGGAACAAAGTTAGTTATAAGCAAGATACTTTCACCCTCAGCCAAGAATCCAGCTGTGTAGCTAAAGAGCTAGCTTTTCTACTTTTCTTTCTTGTGCCTGATATTATGAAGAGGCATCCTCTTACTGGCTTCTTGTGTTGCTGGTAGTGGTGGCCAGTGGATTACAGGATAGTATGAAATCCCTGAGCATTGCCTGGTGTGGAGTTGAGAAAAATGAAAAGACATCCTGCTGGTTTCAAAGCCCTAAGTGAGTAGCCACAACATCCTGATGGGCTCAGACCATCACACAAAAGCGTGCAGCAGGTCTCCAGCCATTAAAAAGTTTTAGCTTTCTTGCGAACCAAGAGAAGAATAATAGGCTTGTGTTTGCCTCTTAAACACCTGGCTCCTCATAGAAAGAAAAGCCGGATGTTAATTAAAACTTTGCAAACCTGGAATGGATCATGCCATTCCGTGTTGAGAAGTCAGCTTTGACTTCTAATTTCATGCCAAAAAAGAAAGAGGTTTGCTACCAAAAATTGTTACTGCATACAAATCTCATTTAAAGTAAAAGGAGAATTTTTAGTTCTGTCTTTGGAACAACTCTAGTGACAATACAGCCTTTAATAAAATAATATCTTGACTGCATATTTATATTTCATTTAATTTTACTCCTTCTTTTGGATTTCCCTTTTTTATGGAGCCGCCCTTCAAAGGAAATGCTAACAATAAATTAACATCCATACTCTGGCATGCTTCATGGTATTTCATTTTAAACATTCACACATGGATTAAAATGCAACATCATTTACCTTTCCCAGTGGCCAGCATATACATAGAAGAGAAAGAAATAGCGATTAAAAGGAAATCACCACACTAAAATTATAGAGATGCTTTCCTAGATTTCGTTTCCATTCTGTCAGTCTTCCACGGGAAGCTGGTGTAATTTCACTCAAAATGGGCAAGATTTGGCATGGTTCACAGTCACAAGTGAGAGAACAAAATAGGAGAGATTTTCATTTATAAGATTGCCTTTCTCTTATCTACGGGTCTTGTCTCTCCAACTGTCTGTCTGTCTCTGGAAAACAAAGTCAATAAAAATGATTAGAGTTGGCATTGCACAAATGTACACCCTTAAACCATGAAGCAGTAATGCTGTGCAGGAAATATTTTTTCTGACCTTTTCAAATTGCATCCAACTGTCTCGGGAATTTCTCAGGGACTGGAGGTAATAAGGTTCAATCCGTTTTACTGTCTGGCTTCAAATTTAGTTCCTCCACACCTCCAACTTATCTATTCTTTGCATCTTGGCACTGGCATCCTTTCAGCACAGAAAGCCATGCATCTCATCTTTCTTTCCCCTTCTTGGGTTTTTGCTAAAAGATCACACCGTGGAATCTACAACCGTGACGACTTTTCCCTTATTGCCTCCTTCAAACACAATATATTAGCACCAGAAGATTAGTGAGCGTGCTGTCCTTTGAGAAGCCCTTGTTGAATTTAATTAGCTTCTAGATTTCATCCTATCTTACATCTCAGTTTTTACCTATGTGATTTTTGCCTCAGTGACCTTCATTATACAAAATTTTTCAACTTAACTCTATCAGGGGTGCTCTAAAAATATGCTACAAAAATACGCAAATTTCTTTTGTTCTAAATTGACTTCGGTTTTTCTTCTGTGAGTCCAAATGCCACAGACAGACTTGCCATTGAGGAAGGGAGTTACCCAAGTGTGACGTGCTAAAGGGATGTCGAGTGGCCTCATTTTTCACTGTATTCCCTGAAGGAGAACAGAAAACAGAAGCTAGGGACACATCGCCTGACCCCATGGAAACGGTGGGTGTCAGGAAGCCTTGACAAGGAGGTAAAAAGCTCGTCTTACTTTTCCTATTCAAAGCATCTCTATGCTGAATGTGACTCTCGGTGTTTCCGCATTTGTAGGACATACCACATTCAATAGCGTCCTCTGTGTTGTTGCCCCACTCCATCGCCTCTGTCCTGCTTTCTGCAGAGATTAGAATCTTGGCTGGAATTTCCTGTGCTCAGTGGAGCTTGGAGCTTCTTTCTGACTTGGAAAGCATGTTCACCGGCAGGCAGCCATAAGCAGGGGAATGTCTTTTTGAAGTTGCCCTTCTGAGGGTCTGTGTTTTCTTGTAAACTACTTTCTTCAGTTTGATCATTATATTTGGCTTGCTAAAAATGAAATCGTTTGAAACAATCCAATTTAGAAAGTAGAGTTGGGGGAAAGGGGATGATGAGCCAACCATTTTTTACTCAAAACAATGTGTTTGGTTCTTTCAAAGAACTGGGCATACTTAGGCTAAGGTTCATCCTCATAGTAAGCTTCTATTTTCCATTTAAAACAGTGTCTACAAGTTTGGTGTTAAAGAGAAATCAACAAAGTAAGCAACTATATTGCTTAAGAGTATAGCAACTATATTGTCATTTAAGAGTGAGCAACTCTATTGTCATTTGAGATATAATCAATCCTAATAATCAGTCATAGTCCCAGTGGATGCTGTCCTTTTACAACTTGGGTATAGTGGACTGGCATTTTACTTAGTAGAGATAAAGTATTCTGGCAGCTTTGCAAATTCTAACTTCTTCAATATTTGCAAGGAGCTTAGTGTTTTCATCATCACCATCTGGGGAAGTGTGGTAATTAAAGCGGATTGGTTTCCTGGGTGGAGCATCAGTACACCTGAGAGTGGCTAGTGTAGATGTTTGCGTCTGCATGTGCATGTGCAGGCAGATGTGAGATGTGCTAACCTGAACTGGGGAGGAGGAAGCAAGAGTTCTAAAACCAGAAGTCTAGTTTTCCCCTATGGATGTCATCTCTTAGTACATCAGGAACTTGGCTCTACGTAGTAACTCCTTCAGAACATAGCATGGATCTAACCATGGAACACTTAGGGCCATTGATCATGCCATTCTGTGCTGAGAAGTCAGCTTTGACTTTCTTCTTTTTTTTTTTTTTTTGTTTTTCTCCAGTACCAGGAACCGAACTCACGACCTTGCCCTTGCCAGGCAGGCGCTTTTGCCGCTGAGCTAAATCCCCAGCCCCTTGACTTTCTAATTTGCCAAAAAGACAAGAGATTTGCTACAAAAAATTGTTATTGGATACAAATCTCATTTAAAGTAAAAAAGAATTTTTGGTTCTACATTTAGAAGGACTCTAAGGACTTTTATCATTTCTAAGATTAATCATATTTCCCACCCTTCAGGACCCAGAGGCAAAAGAAAGTCACTGTTTGGACTTCCCACCAAAAGAGCAAAGTGATTTGAAGTTGTCGGGGGAGCAAGGGAGGACATGGAGCTGGGATTGGTTTGGACTGCGTGTTATGCTTTGTAGGGTGTTCTCAGGGTCTGCAGGAGCTTTCAGTGTGAAAAGGTGAATGGGAATAGGGAGGCTAAAGTGCTGGGAGTAATACCATCTGATTCTTATTATATCACAGCTATTGACAGGGTATCTCCTAGATAACTTATGGAACCTCACTTCATCTGTAGAGGAGACCAGTAAGATGGGTACAACTATCCTAGAATGAAAGGGGACAAAAAAGTGTGGCAACTGTTGTTAATTCCTATCATTTTGTTTTGAGCTCATGTATCATTTTTGTTGTTTTTGTGTTGTTTTGATTTTGTCTTCACTGTTGTTGTTTTGTTAATTTTTTTAACTTTAAAATTAAAAAAATGCCCACAGAGTTTAAAAACTGAATTTGCTTTCAAGTGGCAGGAGAATTATGTGAGGAGAGTTATTTTTATTTGTATGGAAAGGAACAAAATAATACATTTGTTCTCAGTAGCAATGTGGTATTTCTGTTTCCTCCTCTTCTTTCTCCTCTTCCTATATCACCTGCTCCTCTTCCTTCTTACTTTGTCTCTAATTCTTTTCTTTCTTGCCCCAAAGAGAGAAAAAAGCCAGATTATTAAAGCAGTGTTTCCACTGAGTCTTCTGGAATAGTGCAGCCATTTTTTTTCTCTTCTTGGTTACAGACTTGTTTTCAGTAGAGCTGCTAATTGCACTATTCCAAAAGTTTAATGAAAGCCAAAGTTTCTCATTGGTGGCTTGTGTTACCATCACATACATTTTATGGAAATAATAATACAAGTGGTAGATGATGGCACTTACATGTTGTCCTTGCAAGTTCATATTCAACCCTGCCAATCTACCTTTTGTCTGCGTTAATGAATTCCCAAGGTCAAAAGGAGGAAAGGATGGATTGAAGAAAGCAGATGTTCAATGATATCTTTGTGGGTAATCTTGGACAATCAGTGTCTAAAAGGTGTATTTTAGCCAGGTATGGTGTCCTGTGTCTATAATTCCAACAGTCTAGGAGGCTGAAACAGGGCACAAATTTGAGTCCAGACTGAGCAATTTAGTGACTTCGTGAGACTATCTCAAAACTAGAATAATAATAAAAAAGTTGGAAATGTAGCTCAGTGCAAAGGTCCTTGGTTCAATCCTCAGTACCACCAAAAAAATTAGTTTCTATATCAGGATATCTGTGAAATGAAATTCCTTCTCATATACAAGTGAGATTTTTTTTTCCTTATTTGCCTCAATATCTCTGTTACAAACATAAACACTCTTGATTGCCAAAGCAGGCTTGTTAGTGCAATGTCAATTCAATGGAGATATCGATGGGAAGAGATTCAATTTCACTCTCGTGGATGCCTAATATCCTGCAACTTGTGCTCAGGGAAGGGGCTCGTTTATTTATTCAGGGTGAACCGGGCTCCTCAGGTTGCCACGACATCCCTCAGGCTCCTGATGCCCAGACTGGCAACCTGGCAGCACATCATTTGTTCCCAGGCAAATCAGAAGACAGGACATTGATTAAATCTAAGCAGATTAGTTGAATCTCAAGAGCTGTCACCACCACTCACTGCAACACACTCTTCCTAGAGTGAGTGCTCTAGAAATGCAGTCAGCACAGCACTGTGATAAATATTCTCTCTCTAACAATCCCAGGCAGCAGAACTGGACAGAAAATGCAGCACAGTTTTAGATGTAAATATGATTTCAAGTCCTCCCTCCCCCACCCCTCATAAATATCTTGAAGGTCTCAAATGTGCGTGTGATCTCAGTTCAGGGTTCATGAAAGACTTTTTTACAAGGGTCTTTGATTCTCACTGTTGCCCTTATTGAAATCAAACTCAAAGTAATGTAAAGAAACAACAACAAATCATTCTAAAACTACCCACTGTTGCTTCCTATCACTGCTGAAAGAAGGGAAATGACAGTGTGGACTTCTAATCCATGACTTCAGGAGTGAGCACCTGCCTGTGTGCCATGATATACTGGCAATCTCCACTCCCTGTCAGGCTTGCAGCAGTATTTATTTTTCCTTAATTGGAACCCCACTGACGCCTTGTGGGACTCCCCCTTGGCAAAGGCAATATATCCATACAGACCTAGAGCACAGCCACCCTTGTCATTTGTAATATTATGGTCAGAAATATCAACATTGGGATCAAAATTAAACCAACACCCAGGCTAATGCAGTTTCTGGGTTTGCCTTCTGGTGTTATTAAGAACTCACCATTTTTCTCAGTGTTTATCTTTGGAGTTAAAGCAATGTCAGCAGAAGCTTAAGCTGAATACACTTTGTCCAAGTGTTTCCTCTTCTGTTTGGTCCTTCATTTCCCTGCCTCAAGAAGTCTGAGAATGATTGATATAATTACTATTAGCCTGGAGGGAGAAGAAAATCATAAACACAAGCTCTGGAAACTATAGAGAAATTATATATATATATATTTTTTTTTTTCTGGGTCAGCCAATATAATAAAATCCCCCCAAAAGCCTTACTTTTATTAAAATGAAATTAATCAAGTGACTCCTGTTTCTCATAACTTTGGATGTCCAAACAGGAGTTTTATTTCCTTAGATGTTGGAGGGCCACTTCATTGTCTTATACATGGTTTCAGAATTTGCATTTGCGCTTCCTTCATTCTATTTTTGTTTTTGTCACTGAAGTTCATGAAGACTTAATCACTAGCCCTCTAATTTTCTAGGGAAAAAAATGTTGATTTATTGAACTGGACGCAGAGAAAGAAGAAGATCAATCTGACATTGTAGGGTAATAGTAGGGAACAAAACACATTCATAATTAGAAGAGAAAAGGACTTTCCTTGTTCCTTCCAGTTTATAATAAAAAGCCCCTCGCCAAAGTGTCTTAGAAAATAATGCATTCAGACTGAGTTGAATTACCGCCTAGCAGATTCTATTTATCTGTAGCTTAAAAAGCAGCTGCGTTTTTGTGAAAAGCAATGAATGTGGCAGTCCTACTTAAAGGTGGAAGAAAAAGAACACCCCTTGTTTTGTAATAAGGGGATTTTCAATTTAAAAGAGAGAGTGAGCCTGTTGTGTGAAGTAGGGTTATTACATTCACTGTATTCTATCTCACCCACCAGGAGGCTAATAATGAAGGGGCCGGGGAAGGAGGCCAGTGGTACAAGGGTTATCTCACAACCTCAGATGCTGGATAAGTCGCAGGATGCAGAATCACTTCTGGATGACATTCAGAAAGGCTGGAGTGATCATTTGGAAGAGAAAAGCCTGCCTATTCTTTCCAAGGTAAACAGTTCATTTCATCTGCCAGCGGCCTGTTGCAGTATAAAATATGTTTGTATAAAGATATCTATAAAGTTTGCCTTTAAAAAATCATTTTAGGTGCATGAATATTCCCCTGACCTGCCTGTCTGTCCAATGGTCCAATGATGAATTATTAGGAAGCTGCCCTAGACAAAGGATGAGCTCGGATCCCCACCACATCTAAAACCATGCTTTGAAGGATCTGCCAAGCTCACTTTTAATCATGAGAAAGAAATTACCCACATGGAGACAGCAGAAAATGAGAAAGTAGAGCTCGTGCTGCGAATAATTCCAGCGAGTGCCAAGGGGCTAGTTGAGGAATGGCTTCATGAGGTGAATACCTTTAGTTTGTACTTAGGGTTTGGTTAGCGTATAATCATTTTCTCTTTTAGGAGTGATGACTATCCTGAGTGTATTTCCTAACCAAAGAGTACATGGGCATTTGTCAGAATGTTAAAAATTTTAATATCAGTCTGGCCCTTGTTGTTATTGACAATGAATCGTTTCACATTCGCCAATATGCAGAAATCAGCTTGGATGGAGAAGCAAGGTGTCTGAGTCTGTGACAATTGCTAGCTGTTTGTGTTTGTGTGTTTGTTGTGAGTGCTGTCTGGTAATTGATCACTGTGTGTGTGTGTGTGTGTGTGTGTGTGTGTGTGCATGTTTGTGTGTGTGTCTGTCCTTGTTCTCGTCTTCTCTTTGTTGTAAAGGTAGGTTGAGAGGATTAACCAACCCATGGGTACTCAGATGTGAGCCAAAGCTTTCATTTGATTTTGGAACAGAAGGAAGGAAAAAAAAAGAGAGAGAGAGAACATGTCACATCATGATTAATGATTGATCTGAATTTTTAATTCATAGGAAAGGAGGAAGGAGAGGGTTTACGAGTCAAGTGACAAGGCTAACCTTTTCCCTTTGGGATAAGCAGGATTCAAATTAAACATCACTTTCAGTGTGAAATTAGTTTGAAGCCCCACCCCCACCCTCACTTGGTGCCTGGTTTAACTCCTTGATGGCTGTTCTTTCAAAAAGGGTCCCGGCCATCCCAGCTTCTGCCTGAGTTTATCCCCAGAATCATCCCTTTTCCTTTGTTTTATTTTCTAAAGATCAGATCTAGGAAAATGATATTTTGCTATTTTAAATGTACTCAGTACTCAGTATTTACAAGATAGGATTCTCCCGAAAACATTATTTCCTTGTGCCCCAAAGTAATGTCAGTAAATACATAATTTTCTTCTGTTTTCAAGGCTAATTTTACCAGGGAGGAGGGTACGGGAACGTGGGGGATCTGTCCGGAGTCTCTAGATTCCCACGTAACTGAGTCACAGGATCGCCATGCCAACCTTAAGCAATTTTGGCTTCAAGCAAACATGTGCCTGGACTCTCTCAAACTACCCTTCAGTCCCAGTCCAGAGAGCTCAGGCCTAAACTTGTAGAAAGAACACACTGTCCGGGAAAATGTTCAACTGCTTCGTACACACACTTGATGCCACAGTTCAGTACCATCGGGGTGGAGGTTGAATCGATTCTTTCTGGAGTTTGTTGACTTGCAGAGGAAGGACAAATATTGAAATGGCTAAGAAACAGGGTTATTCTTCCAGTATATTTTCAAAAGGGCAATGTCAGGGCTCTTGAATACCTTCTCTAAGGGCAGCAGAGGTGTGGTAGGGGACGGGAGCCAGCTGGGGGAGGGTTGGGCTGGGAGAGGAGCCAGCTGGGGTGGAGTGAGGCAGGGGAGGTAACCAGCTGGGGGTAGAGGTAGAGGTGGAGTGGGGGAGGAAAAGGTGGAGGAAGATGAGCAGCTGTGTTTATTTTAATACATATCATTTAACCCTCACCTAAAAACAAATTGGAGAGGTTTGGGAGTGCATTAATCTGGACCCAATTAGCATGCCTTGCTCCTTCAAAAGTGCAACCTGAAATTAATGAATATAAACTAGAGTTTCAGATGCAGTGCTTAAATCATTTGCATGCTTCATGCATGATAATTGAATTTATGTATGCACTTCCTTCCATTTAACTACTTCCAGTCTCCTCGTGATTCACACAAACCAAGATTTCATTATAGTAACCTCTAGGTGGACATAGGTCGCCCAGATTTTACTCCCATGGAGAAATTCACATTTGTGGGTCTTTTGTAAAATTTGAATTTGAATTTTTTTTTTTTTTTGAAGCAGTGCTCAGTAGAGACTAGTGTGGAATGGTGTTTTAGGAGTTGGTAAATGAGCCCTTCAAGTTTATTTTTGCAAAGTCAGAAAACCTACGAGAACTATGGCATTGAGTTTTCAGTGGTCTTAAAGAGCTGGTTTCTGGGTATCCACTTTTAAGTGTTTTCATAAAACCAAGAGCAGGGTCACTTGGGTGTAGCATAAAGGGTGCTCCTGGAATTTGAACCTGAGTTACTTAATTCACTGAGAGACTTTATTGCACATGATTGTTCCTGGAAGTAGTTAGATACTTGTTTCCATAGAGGGGGTGGGAGTGATGCCAGCCTCCATGAAAGGCACTAGATGAGCAGTTATGGTCCTTTGTTGTCCCTTGGGATGCTGTAGATTTTATCTTTTTTCCTTTCTTTTTTGTTATTTAGGTGTAAAAGGCTTTATGCTTATATAATGCAAGCAGGTGCTAAGGTTACCTCTCTCCACCTGCCCCAAGATGAAAAATCTAAAAGTGGGCAGTGGGTATACAAGAAAGCTTCTTGGGAGAGAAGTTGAAGTCAGACGCTTGGAATGATTCCCCTGGTTTTAGTTTGTACCAGTGATTTGTCTGTCTTCTGTCTTTCCTTATGTGTTTCCAAGTTCAATGTCAAAGTGAAGTGCTTTTCTCCAGGAATTCTCCCCAGTGTCCTTTGTTTTTGGTGAATTCAATGGTTGAATGTTGCTGAGTGTCTCCTGGTCTTGTTTCCTGGTCCTCGTAGCTAAGAATGTCGTTGAAGGATAAAATCTTGTTAATTTGTGATGTCACAATTTAAGTGTGCTTCCTGTCACTTATGTGTAGTTTAAAATGTTCCTTAATGTAGCATGAAATGATTGGTTAGCTTTGAAATGGTTGTGAAGTCATGTGAAGAAAATAAATTTTGCATCCGACCAAGATAAATTCACTCTAGTGCTTTATGGCTTTTTATTCCTATGTGATAGTAATAAAGTCTCATGTAGGGATGGAAGCCATGAAATACATTGTGAAAAATCATCAACTCAGAAGGGGCCATCAGTATAGCGAACGTTAGCCTGTGGTGCTGTGAATGTGATGGAGAAATGACTTAGTGTGTAGCCCTACTGTGTGCTTGGTTTTCCTTGAGTTTCTTTATCTTTAGATCTGGACAGCTAAGGAATCTAGTTTACTAGAGTCGACTCATTTCCGTAATCATTTGTTAACACTCACATTCGAGTTTGTGTATTTCTGTTGACCATACATTTTTCCTGTTTTCTACTAATGACCATCCTTTAGGGGGACTTTCATAGCCCAGCATTTTGGTAGGCAGCATTCAATCCTTCTGTGCCTTTTTCTGCCAACCGTTGAGGTGTTTCTTCTGAAACAAAGAAGAAATAGACAAATCAGACTTGCCCTCTTGGAAATGTGGTCCAGATTTCTCTACTCCCAAGCTCCAAAAAAGGTATCCATTGCATGAGCTAGATCAATACCTTCTGAGATCCATAAACTCACTGAGAGTCCTTCTCCACTTAAAGGTGTGGAATAGTGGACAGACATCTGATGTTAGAGGAAAGAAGAAAAAGTTTGGACTGGAGTTGGAGGATAATCCCTCTGCCACTTCAGCTATATGCCTTGGGGCAAGTGATTTACACTTTATGGGCTTCTTTTCTTACCTTTAAAATGGGAGAAAGAAAATCTATACTGTAAGGCAGTTGTGAGGATTAAATGAAGTAATGCGTGTGTGCCTAACGAAGTATTTAACATTATTTTTAAAAAACTCATGAAATATTAGTTTTTTTTCCTTCCTTCCCTCTCTCTCCCTCCTGTTTTTCCCCATCCTTCAGATATTAGTCTAAAACAGCACCTTGGGATCTAAGCAACACCTTTGAGAAGGAAAAGACTTCTTCAGGAATGTCTTGTTGCACCTCTTTTCCGTATGGGGCTTAAGTGCCTAGAGTGGACCAATAGTTTAATTTTGTTTAAACTATTGAAATGTTTAATGTTGACTCTTGACATATCTGCATTTTTACTATTTCTGTGTACTTGTTTTTGCTTGAACTGTTTTAATATTGACTATTGACCTATTCTCATTTTTACCGGTTTTCTGTACTTGTTTGGGAGCGAATTCTAATAAAAATTATTTGTGTTACCTTTTGCCTCTCTATTTCCTCCACACCGTGAGATTTTATCCTAAAAGGACAACTCATACATTTGCTTAAAAACTGCTCGCTTGTGGCACAAAAAGAACCGTATCATTCCTCCTCCCTACATTTAACCTGCATATCAGTGTGTCTGGGAAAATTGTCAACTTAGGTCTAATTTTGATGTCCATTCATCTGTTAAATATATACATTTACAGTATCACTAAATATATAAATTTGACAATGTCACTAAAGACTTTGGGACAATTGTTGGTAAGGACAAAGATTTTTTTAAGTCCATAAGCAATGTAAATTTTTAAAATTGTAGCATAATGTAAACGCATATTAAAACAAAGACTAAGATGAACTCCAGGGACATCACACTTGCAACCAAAGTTCCTTTATTATAATTGCATTTGTCTTTTAAATGTTATATTTAACATTATATCTGCAGTTCCTAGTAGTTCCCCTGATATTTAGGAGGTATTCAAATGACTGATGAGTGAGAAAATAAGAGAACAGGAAAATGAGGGAGGAAAGGAAAGAAGAACAAAGAGAGCAACAAAGAAGTAAATGGCTATATAACCATGGGAAATAGGTTTACATTTAGGGAAGAGAGCAAATACAAGCCCACTGGCAAAATAAGAAGAATTTAGATTGGCAGTAAATAGTACGAAACCATTTAAGACAAAATGTGTATGAATGACATAGGAAAATTCTGTAGGGATGTATAATAGGGAAAGTTCCCTAGAATCAGGGAACAATCTCTATCAGAATACAGGGCATCAGACAAATTTTGAAGAGTAAGAGTTAAAGATCTGAAAATTAATTTATCAAGAAATTTATGAAAAACTTCAGTGAGTGGTACTTGGAAGTTTTTCCAGCAAAGGAACTATTCTACCCTTCAGAATATATTTACCTATAAATATTTTCACAAGTACAAATAAAAGCAGAAAGTAGATTTTAATGGACACAGTTTCTTAGATTAATTAATTACTGCTGAGCCTCAGTGAGCTGCAATTAGCTATTACTCACGTGAGGTAGGATGAATCTAAGCTCCTAACCAGTGCAGGATTTCAAAGGTGGCCATAAACTCACTCTGTTTCCTCCCCTTTTACTCTTGGGTGGTTGTCCTTAAATTCCAAGAGTTGGTGTAGCACTGGAGGTAATTTATTTGAAAGTGGTTATTTTCAAGAAGGACTCAGCACCTCTCAATAGATATTGGCTTTTTTAGGGTTATGGACTGGCAATAATCCTCATGGCTATTCCTTAGCAAAAGGCTGCAATGACCAGCACTCTCACTCAGCAAGGGAATGAGTCAATCTCCCCATCTTGCCAGTGGAGTTGGAGAAGGAGGAAACACACACATGAGAACAGAGTGAAGTGTTTCGTGCCATGCCCTTATCAGAAATTTCTCTTCAGTTCCACCAGCAACACTGTATTGGTCAGTGGGAGATAATAACTATTGGCTCTAACTTTGGGCTACATAACAAAAACCACATATTGCTCAACATATTCATATTCCACAATGGTGTCATGGAGTTGTGATTGTGATGCCTCCTAAGGGGATGAAATAGACATCAGAATTCTCTTGTTCATTGTGTGATACCATGAATTCTGAATCCATGATTCAATTAGCATGATCTTTTTAGTTACAACTGGCCCTCACCCAGTAGGTATCTACACTGAGCTGTCTTTGCACTGGTGGAATGGGCTCACAGGAATCTTAAACGCAATGGGACTCAACCAGTACCTGTGGATCACAGAAGGATCTACACAGGAGAGTAGAGTCCAGAAATTCTATGTGCATCAAGTAACACGACCCTGGATCCTATACTTCAGGTTTTCTATCTCTCTAGACCAATTCTTAGAATCAGATCTTCCAAGGATAGCCACTCCCAAGAAGAATGCCACAGATCCTGTTCTTTTAGATTGTATTATCCTTGTAATTAAAAATGCTGATGGAAAATGGGTTAAGTGGGATGAGGTTTGAGAATATTTCTCACCATTCTACTGGATGGCCTGTAGAATGGTCCTCACACCTTCCTTAAAAGAGACTCCTGGATCTTGAAGAACTCAGAGATGGAGGCTGTCATGGCAGGCCTCTTCACCTTTAGTGCTTATCATAAAGAATACAAATAAATTGGTTACATTACAGTAATAATATTACTTTCATGATTCATTATTTCACTCCATTAACGTTTTTCCCTTCACATATTTAAGCATTATAACAGCAACAACCAAAACAATGAAACAAAAACCACTTTCTCCCAAGAGATTAAAAAATATCCTAGGAGTATGTGTTAGCAACTCATTGATAGTCCAGAATTAGGTCACACAATGAGGGCTTAATAAATATTCATGCAAAGCCCTCAGAGGGACCCACAAGGCTTATATGGCCTGCATTTACTTCATCTTTCTGCCTTCATCTCCTGTCACTTTCTCCCAGCTCATCCACTCCAACCTCATGGATTTTGGGTTATTCCAAGGCTACACTAAATGAGTTTCTTATTCAGAGCCTTTGAAATTGCTAGTTCCTCTACCTAGAACATATGTTTCTTAGATGTTGACCTGTCTCATTCTCTCCCTGCCTCGTATTTCTGCTCAAATATATCAGTGAGACCTGTCTCATTATCTTCTATTAAATCATATTTCCTTCTCCAGACTCCACCATCTTACCCTAACTGGTCTTTCTCTGTGGATAAATAGTGGTTTTAACCATCGGCTAAATGATACATTTACCTGCTTGTTTGTATTGCGTTGAAGAATTATCCTCCCTCACTAGAACATCATCTCCAAGAGGCAAGGACATCAATCTGCTTCTTTTGTTAACTTTGTCCCCAGAGTCTGGAATTGTATGTGTACACAGTACACACTCAAATATTTGTTGAATGAAGTTATTGCTGGTCTGGTACTTCCTGGCATTCACATATCAAAATACTGATGTTCCATATCATCACAACAAGGAATCACTTATATTCCTCCCCATATGAATGAGCCATTACTTCACCATTATCTCAATGTGAGACACGGAGCTTTGTTTTTTATAGTTTCTCCTTTGTACAAACAATGCTTCAGTACATCTTTTCACCATCAATTATCATTCCCTATTCTTCTTCAGAATTCTTAGTAGTAGAATAACTGAGTCAGAAGCCATGATCCCTCATATATATATATATATATATATATATATATATATATATATATAATCAAATTATCTTCCAGGCATATTATATCAATCACACTCTAGTACAAGGTAAATGCCAGAATATTCTTTGTGTGACTTTTTAAAAATTAGTGTTATGCTGGTCTCTAAAAAGTTGACCAGCTTCTCTTGCTGTCTTTATTCATTTGCTTTTTCCTTCTGGGAGAGTTGTCAATTTGTGGTATTTCCATTTGCTTTTTGATTTTGAACCTAGATATCTGAGATAAAAGATTCCTTTCATTTAAGAAATGGAAGAAAGAATATGATTTTTTTGGTAATGTGTCTGGTCTTCATATGAGGAAGTATAGGATGTAACCATCCTACTGGTTGCTAACAAGGGCAAAACTTTTGACTCCTTTACTTCAGCATCCCAAAATATGTGAAAACCACAAGTTAGACAGGAGGAATTAAAGTAAACCACGCTACCCCTTAACTATCACTGTGTAGATGTTCCTTACTAAAGTGAATGTGTAAATATCCACAGAGTAATCTCTTGATGTTGAGAGATTAGATACATTTATAGTGTACAGGATGTAACTTTCAAGTTGTACTACTGTTCTGTTGACCGTGTTAGTTTGTTCTAGCATCCTTTGTTTGTCTTAGTCTCTCTTGCACAATTAGGCTCCTTGACATTTCTCTTCTTTCTGAATTTCATAAAATTGCAAGGCAACCAAGAAACTAGTAGTGTTTGTTGCATTTTTTATACAAATAAAACAACTAGTTAATCTTCTTACTAAAGACAGGGACTTTGTGCTTCTCTGGAGCCAACACCAAATTGTAATTTAAAGATTCTGTAATTTGAAGACTTTTGGATTTTGAACATAGATATCTGTGATAAAAGATTTCTTTCATTGAAGAAATGGAAGAAAGAATATGATTTGTTTTCTAGTGTGTCTTGTCTACATATGAGGAAATATAGGATGTAACCATCCTACTGGTTGCTAACAAGGGCAAGACTTTTGATTCCTTTTGTTCAGCACCAAAAAATATGTGAAAGCCACAAGTTGGATAGGAGGAATCAAAGTAAACTGTGCTACCCCTTAACTATCACTGTGTAGATGTTCTCTTTTGTTTTGTTTTTGTTTTTGTTTTTTGCCATACTGAGAATTAGGCCTGAGTCTCACACCATGCAGAGCAAGTGCTCTAGTGCTAAGCTACATTCCCAACCCAGGAATCACTATTCAAATCAGAATGTATATTCACATACACCTTTGAAGACATATCAACATCTATTTTAACTGATAAACACACATAATCTCCCATTGCTCTGTAAAGAAACACATTAATAAGAAACTCAGAAATATATTTTGCTCTTCCTTTGAAATGTTTAAAACTGGTCCTATTTTTTTCTTTTTTTCGCATGTCTTCCTAAGATTGTTTTTAACATAAGGTATTCTTACCTTACTTATAAACTGAAGTAATGTCAGAATGTCACAAAGGAAGGCCAAATGGTAGCTAACATCCTTGATAAACAAGAATAATTAACGGAGCTCTATTTATTTACATACAGATTTTGAGAGCTAAAGCATGTGATACTTACACAGGGCACTGATTTCTGATTGAAGAAAAAATGCAAGTATGTAAATCTATGTCTTTACTTGTGTGCTCACTCTAAATGTAGAAGATCTGAAATTCCACAGTAAGGAGAATACAATGTGATTTTTTGATAAGCACTAATGTTTTTAAAGATAGCGTAAAAGCCCAGGTAAAACAAATGAGTCAAATTGACAAGACACCAAAACAAACTACAACAAATGATTCAGTAGTTGCT